GGGTTTGGGTCTAAATCAGGTATGAGGAACTAGTTTTGTGTACTCTGGATGAACTTGATAGATTATGGTCCTCTAACCTCTCAGATCCATTGCATATGACATTTAAAATATGTAAGTTTTAGGTTCTTGAAGACAGGCTTTCTCTGAGTAGCTTTGTAGACCAGGCTGGCCTCAAACTCACAGAGTGCTGGAAATAAAGGCATGCACTACCATCGCCTAGTTAAAATATGTAAGTTTTACATAGTAAACAGTGACCATTTCATTTTTTATTTAAATTAGAAACAACCTTGCTTCACATGTCAAACCCAGCTCCCTCTCCCTCCCCTCCTCTCCTGCCCCCCACCCACTATCCAGCGGGGAGTTTCCAGAGTCTGTCATATCCTCCAGGGCCTAGGCTAGGCCCTCCCCCATGTGTCCAGGCTGAGAGAGCATCCCTCCATGTGGAATGGGCTCTCTAAGTCCATTCGGATGCCAGGAATAAATACTGATGTAGTACCCAAGGCCTTCTCACTGACACCCATATTTAGGGGTCCTGGATCAGTTCCATGCTGGCCTCTCAGCCATCAGTCTGGGGGTCCATGAGTTCCCCCTTCTTGAGGTCAGCAGTTTCTGAGGGTTTCAACAGCTCAGTCTTGACCCCGTTGCTCATCACTCCTCCTCTGCAGCTGGTTTCCAGGAGTTCAGTTCAGTGTCTAGCTGTGGGTATCTGCCTCCTGTGACCATTTCTAACCACAACCTATGGGGTCTCCAGAAAGATGATGGTGCCCTGCAATGACAAGATCCACCTGGACTGAGATAACACGATTAAGCTGACAGCCACCACCAAAAAGATCAGTTTTGAGTACAAAGCGCTCAGGGACGCTTCAGAGCAGCTAGCTGAAATGGCCCAGCCTCACAGAGTACACCAGTCAGGGCTTCAGACACGCCCTCAGCTTTCCCATCACACAGAGACTTGACCATTACCCCAAGTGTTTCCGATGCCGTCGCTCCCAGACAACAGGAAGTCATCTTAACAACACGATGCCCACATTCCAAAGAGGGTGTGGGTGGTTTTTTTCTTTTTCTTTTTTTTTTTTTTTTTTTTTTGCCGTTTGGTGGGTTTTGGATGCTTGCGGTTGTTCAGGGTGGTTAGTTACCAGTGGTCATTGGTCCTGGTCAGGGAGGAAGCTAAACAAAGAAGGTTAGATGAAGGGATGTCTTTCCTTCTTTCCTCTATCCTTCTGTGTCTTGGGCATAGTGTTGAGAAACGGGGCTGGGGATAGAAAGAAAGGAAAGTGGGGAATGGAGGGATGGTGGGATGAAAGGGAACATGGCTGACTACTAAAAAGCATCTACTAGTCTCAAGTGGTTTTGTCTATGATACGAGTTTAAGGTTGTTATACCTCTATATTTCTACTCTTGTTTAAGGTATTGTACCTATGCAGCCTGTTTAAAATTTTAATGTAAATTTCTAGTCCTTGAAAACTGTTATGACAAACTGTTTAGGATAATTAAGAAGTTCAGGTTAATTTTTTCCTAGGTGGTTGCCAAATCTGGTGTAGGGGTCCTGGTGTTAGATGGCAATGTCATCTTGTCTGGCGGCCATTTTGGCCAAGCAGATACTACTGGGCGGATGGTGTTGCTTGTGTGTCGTGAGGACATCAACAGTTCTGGAAGGGTTAAAGTACCTGGCCTTTCTTTAAAAACACATGACCACAAATCTGTGGTGATACTTTGTTTGTGCTTTTACAAATAAAGCTTGCCTGAAGATCAGAGTGCAGAGCTAGGCATTATTTAGCCGTAGAGGCCAAGCAGTGGTGACTCACACCTTTAATCCCAGTATTTGGGAGTCACACGCCTTTAATCCCAGCGCTAGGGAAATGGAGACAGGAGTGATACGGCTGGGCAGAGAGAGGAGGATAAGACAGGAGGAGACAGGAGCTCATCGCATTCAATCTGAGGTTTTGTAGAGACGGGACCGCCCCTTTGTTCTGAGGACTCACAGGTGAGAACTAGTGGACAGCTGCTCTGCTTCTCTGATCTGACTTTTGTTTAAGCTGCATTTTTTTGTTTTGTTTTGTTTTTTGGGACAGGGTTTCTTTGTATTGTTTTGGAGGCTGTCCTGGAACTAGCCCTGTAGACCAGGCTGGCCTCGAACTCACAGAGATCCACCTGCCTCCGCCTCACGAGTGCTGGGATTAAAGGCATGCGCCACCAACGCCCGGCTTGTTTAAGCTGCATTTGTTTAACTTGGTGAAATTGTGTTTCTGTGCTTGTCTAAAACACTTGGTGGTCCTAATAATGAGCTGAACAGCCAATAGCGAGGCAGGAGTAAGGACAGGTGGCACTGGCAGGCAGAGTGTATGAATAGAAGGAGAAACGAGGGCGCAACAAGAAAACGAGGAGAGGAGGGCATCAGGGGCCAGCCACCCTGCCACCCAGACAGCCACGCAGTTGGAAGAAGAGAGATAAAATCCCAGAGTAAAAGGTAGACAGGTTAATTTTAGAAAAGTTGGTTAGAAATAAGCCAAGGTGGCCGGACATTCATAAATAATAGTAAGCCTGTGTGTGTGTGTGTGTGCTTATTTGGGAGCTGGTTCATGGACCCCTCAAAAAGACAAAAGAGTAAAAACATTTCACACAGTATTAGCCCCGTCCATCTGGCTTCAGGTTTTTATTATTAAGGCCAATTAGAATTTGTACTACACCAATCCCTCTCAATGTCCCTAACAGTTCTGAGCCCCAGCTGCAGTTTTTGGTGTGACGTGTGCTGCCACACAGTACCAAAAAAAGGCCAGGCTGCCCCGGAACACCGTAAGGCGTTGGGTGGCATCCTTCCACCCTGTGACGAGTTTGCTTACCTGTGGTGTCCTGCTCATGAGGTCAGGTGGGAGTAACAGGAGACATGGAAGAAAAGATCCACTGTCGGAAGAGTGAGCAGCTCTGGAAGCCGATGGCACAGGCAGAAGAGACTGTGGATAGGAAAGTCAGCAGGTTCACAGAGACCCTCAGCACCTGTGGAGCCCTAGTGTGAGCCCAATGAAGACTGTCTCAGGCCTGCCTGGCCTGCCCCTCCTCTACTGCTGACCAGGGAAATGGGGACCAACGGTGCCTTATTCTCTGCTCCTGTGGGAAGAGGGTAGAGCTCAGAGAGCTCATCATCACCTACTTGTTGGGTTTTATTAAAGTGATAACCATAGAAAAGAAAAAGAAATGCAGGTTCATAGTTTTTCATCTATAACAATCAAACTTGTCGTCATGCTAGGTATGGTTTTTTTTGTTGTTGTTGTTTTTTGTTTTGGTTTTTACGAGACAGGGTTTCTCTGTATTGTTTTGGAGGCTGTCGGTCCAGCCTGGCCTCTGAACTCACAGAGATCCGCCTGCCTCTGCCTCCCGAGTGCTGGGATTAAAGGCATACACCACCACTGCCCGGCTCGATAGGTATGTTTTCAAGTTAGATATATTTTAGACAGATGGGTGATCTGTTCAAACATGCTAGAGATCTACAGAATATGGCATTTACAATGTTTTAATAAAAAAAGGCTTCTCATGTCAGTGAGATATGCCTGCTCTTGGCTGCACCAGTCTACTTCAGAGATGAGAGGCATCAAAGAACCTCCATGTGGAGTTTTCTTTCACTGTGGCAAAGTTTACCACTGAGCAAGACACTTCTCTTGCCTCAACTGCTGACAGTATGTTGTCCAGATTGGACAAGCAGAACACAAAGAACTTAGCCAACTTGGCTAAGACAAGGTAGGCCAGTCCTTCAACATTCCTACTTCATAGGAAAGTCTGTCAGATAGGCTTGTAGGCTTAACATAGATTTTCCAGTGTTGCAGAGGAACCTTGGGTGACTGTCCAGGCAAGAGGCTTGGGCATCACCAGGAAGCCAAGACCATGTGGAGATAAACACATTAATAGAAATGGGCTAATAATTAAGAGAGAGCCAGCCACCAGCCTTTAAACCCAGCACTCAGGAGGCAGAGGCAGGTGGATCTCTGTGAGTTCGAGGCCAGCCTGGTCTACAGAGCAAGTTTCAGGACCGGTTCCAAAAAACAATACAGAGAAACCCTGTCTCAAAAAACCAAAAAAAAAAAAAAAAAAAAAGAAAGAAAGAAAGAAAGAAAGAAAATAATGGAGACGGCAGTGGAGAACAACAAACAACATTGTCCTCTGACCTCTACTTGCATGCTCTGAAAAAAATGTTTAAATTGATTTATTATCTACAGTGTGCTGTCTGCATGTCTGCACCACTGAGTACCACAAACAGTGCAGAGAAGAAAGATCGCAAGGGTGAGGTGCTCCTTCTAGAAGGAAATACATTAGATCCGTGTTTGTTGTGAGGATTTGTTTTACTCTAAAAACTTTGGTGTGACTAGAAATACGCTTCTGTGGGCTTTTGGGGTTCAGCCCATCAGAGATTGTTCTCCGATGCCTTGGAACCTGATTATTCTGGAGTGACCCTCTTTCCTGATGGTCCAGCATAACTCAGAGCACCGACACTTCATCATGATGAGGTCCTTTTGCTCTGTTCAAGTGGAAACTCACTCACAGTCAGCAAGTCAAAGTGCGGTGCCAGGACCCTCCTTGCAAGTGTGGCCTTCAAGTGCCAGTGGCCTGGTTTCCGGCCTCAAGTGCGGTTCAGCACCAGGGCAGGACGGAGGGCTCCTCCAGTCTCAGCCCTCTGACCCCTCACCTCTGCGGTCGACCTGTTCAAGTCCGGGCGGCTTGGGGCTGGTACCTCCCAGTCACCTGCTTTCCCCACAACCCCCGTGGCCCACTCTACCAGCAGTCAGAAACCACCCGTGGGCTGATGTGACTGCTAGGCTAGCCCTCACTGAGGCCTGCCCTGCGTTGCAGCCTAGAAGCCTTGCCAGGAAGGAAGTTTGCCCAACTGCTTTCAGAAGCGTGAAGAGGGAGTGTAGTTTGTACAGCCAAGTCACTTGCCCAGGCCACCGTGGGCTAGCGAGATGTCCTGTCTGACCGGATGGAAGCCTGCTGCAGTAAGACCCAATGTGTCTGTGAGCCGGGCCATCCGGGGTGGCTGTAGGCTGCCTCGTGCACGGCCCTTTGGAGCAGCTGTGACGACACTGCACGGTTCTTTCTGTGGCGCAGGAGTCTCCCCCGGCAGCCCAGGGACCTGTGGCTCTCCTTTTTTCACTTCAAACGAAAACAAAAATACCACAGCTGTGTTGTTGCTGACCATCCAGGGTCTGTGAAGGGAGGGGCTGTTTGACTGGCAGATCCTCAGGCTCCTGAGAGGAAGACAGGGCTGTTGCCCCCAGGTGAGCTTCCTGTCATTACCCTGCTGGACAGGTTTTGTCTCTTCCTTGGAAGTGTATGTGGGTTTGGAGTATGGAAAGACTGTTGATTTCATATTACGTATTTGTGGTACAAACTCTATCAGAATCCAAGACAATTATACATCAAAACGACTGAGAAGGAAACTGTGCTTGGATCCTTTTTGGGGCCACCAGCTCACCAATAACAACACAGAGACTAATTATGAATGCTTGGTCTTAGCTTAGAGTTTTTATTAATCTACGTTCTGTCACATGGCTCGGTTACCTCCCTGTACCGAATGTCTGACTTGCTCCGAGTCTCCACACTATAGATTACACCCCCCTCCCAACCTCGCCAATCTCTCCCGCCTAGCTATTACCCATTCAGCTCTTTATTAAGCCAATCAGAAGTTGCCTTAGGCAAAGACACATCTTTACAAAAAGATTTCCTCACAAGAGAAACAGTTACAGCCAAATGGAATTAAGCTAGTGGTTCAGCCTCTTCCAGGGTTAAAACTGTAGCGCATTCTAGGCGTGACGGGATTTAAAAAAACAAACCAAAACCAAAACCTAATACGACAGGGTGTCCGACAAAATGCTTTTAATTATTACATATCTTGTTATTTTATGGCAGAAGGTCCTAACACCAGCATCTGGAAAGTCAGTCCCTGTTGTTTGGAGGTCGGGACCCTAACCACCCGTAAGAAACTGAAGGTCAGATAATAAGTCCTTTTTTTTTTTTTTTTTTTGCTTCTGTATTGTTTTGGAGTCTGTCCTGGAACTCAGGTTGGCCTAGAACCCACAGAGATCCTCCTGCCTCCGCCTCCCGAGGGCTGGGATTAAAGGCGTGTGCTGCCACAGCCCGACAGTGAGTGTGAGAAGTCAGACACCTTTTACACCCATCGGAGAAAGGCGGGGTTCACGCCCTGCCTGCCTCACTGGGAGAGCCTCTGCCCAGAGGAATCCAGCGAGCCATCAGGTCACCTCGGCTATCGGCCGCCCTGGGCGGGGCTCTAGGCCGGCGCAGGCCTCCGCCACTCACTCCGCGCACGCGCACTCTGGCCGCGGGCCGGGCAGCCGGTCTCGCGATACCTAGGCGTGTGTGTGTGCGCGTGCGCGGCGCTCACGTTCCGGGGCTGTGGCGGCCTTCTCCTCCTCCCGCGTCCCGGCCCGCGGTGAGGGCTCCTGGGAGTCGGGCTCTGGCGTGGGCCTCCCCGCCGCCGCCGGCCCTCTGCGGTGGACTGGACTGGGCCGGCCGGAGTGAGCGGAACGGGCGGGAGCTCTCCTGCCTATGGTCGGCCCCTGGGCGCGCTGAGGGCCGGGCTCGGAGCGGCCGAGGTAGGGCGCGGGGCGGCGGCGGCGGCGGCGGGCGCGGGGCCCGGCGAGCGAGGCGCGGGATGCGGCGGCGGGCGCCTCCTTCCTCCGGAGCGGCCGTCCCCGCGGCACTTCCGCCCTGGCGCCCGCCGGCCTCGCGGGAGGCGGAAGTCACGGCGCGGGCCGCGCAGCCCGGGCTGCCTGCCTGCCTGGTGGGCGGGCGCGGGGCTGCTAACTTGCCGCGCTGCGGTAGTCGCGGCTGCCCGGCTCATCCCGGCCACGCTGCGGCCGATGCCGGCGCGGGAAGTACGGTCGTCGGGCACGGTTAAGGGGTGCGGAGGAGACAAAGGAGACCGTAGTTTATGCTGTGTCCTGGGAACCCAAACTCCCCTCGGTTATAAAGTCGTTTGTAATAACAAGCCCGAGTATCATGTGACACTTGATTTTTGGAGGGGGACAGGGTGCGGGGTTTTGAAGCTTTGCTTCATAGGTGCCTTGTGAAGTTACTAAAAATAGTTTTTGTTGGCCTTAATGTCTGCCACATTCAAGATGCGATTGATTTCATTGAAGGACAGGGTTTAAAACTCCTCAGTAAATCTCAGCACACCTTCAGGACCGTTAATTTAGTCACAGTCCAACTTCTTGTTGGCGTCCTTAAACTTGGAGTGAACCATTTAAAGGGATTTTCCTTCCTTGTTTGGTATGTGCAAGGCCACGGGTTCCACCTCCAGGTACCAGAAACAAAACAGAAAAGAAAACAACTGTAGCCTTTGCTAGGCAACACAGTTTGTTCTGTAACTCCTAGCTTGCCGTCCACCCACATCCTAGAGAAATTCTTAGGATTTTCTCTATCATTTTGGCGAACGTTGTATGGAAAGAGTTCAAGATAGTAAGATGGAAATCAGCCTTTCAGAGTGTGTGCTGGTTTTGAGAACTGGAGGTTGGTTCCTGCACCTACTCTGTTGCACTCCAGGGCTGCCCTAATTCACGTGTTCTCATGCACAAAAACATAATTAAAAAACGGTCGCTGACCAGGGATGCTGGTTAACACCTTTGCTCTTAGAACTTGCTTGGTGAGGCCCGAGGATTGCTGTGAGTTAAGAACAGGGTTAATGTTGATGTGTTAACCAAATGCTGAACTGTATCGTGTTTGTAAATGTGTGTATGTATGTATATGTACACACACACACACACACACACACACACACACAAAGACAAAAGGATTTCGCCCTGAAGTAAATTGTGTGTGCTAGGGATCCAAACCCAGAGCCTTGGGCTTGAACAGCCGGGGAACCTTACCAACAACTGTGCCAGTACTGAAGCTCTCTCTTTTTTTTAAGGGTCTTTTATTGTGTAGCCTTGGGTGTCCTGAAATTTGCCATGAGACCAGGCTGACCTTGAGCCCACAAAGATTCCGTAGGCTCCAAGATTAAAGGCATGTGCCACACCCCTGGCTCTAGTTTCTTTTTGTGAGAGCTTTCTAAGTAATTCAGTTTTCTCACAAATAAGTGTGTTTCTCCTTGAGTTTGCATATAGTCTCTAGTCCACATTCGTTGGCTATAAACAGTCCTACTTAATTCACACACACACACATATATGAGTGTGTGTTTAGAGGTGTGTCTTGGATTCATTTACTGATGCCACCTGGTAAGCGGTACTTAGACAAGTGTACAGCAGCGTTCCCTGTTCTCACTATACAGTTTCTGCATTTACAGTCTGACAGGCTCGTCTTGAGTGAATTCTGGAGTTGGTTAAAGAGGATTGGAGTCTGCCCCAGCTCTACTTCTTTTATTAGCACTGTTGATTTAATAAACAGTGAAGGGCATCAGCTCTATTCCTACCCAAATTTCCTGATAAATCTGGGCTTGGTAGGGTTTTATGGGGACCTAGACATTAGAAATGTGATTGTGTCACAAAGCACAAGACTAGCTTTTCTTCATTTTGGACAATCTAAGTTTCCACCAGGAAGATTTTGTGGATTTTTATAAAATTAAGGGCTAAAGAGATTCTTTCTGTTTTGTGTGATGAGGGTGTTGAACCCAGGGCTCTGCACATGGGCTACGTTCCTGGCCCCAAATAGGTGAATGCAGTAGAGTGATTCCTATGGTAGGAGAGGGTTTGCCTATTAGGGCACTATCTGGAGAAAATTTTGGTTGTCATTAATTTGGGGGGGAAAGCTGTATTCCTGACATCTAGTAGGATGCTGTTGAACACCCTTGGTGTAGAGAAGACAGATCCTGGAATGGCTATATGCTGTAACATGAACTGTTGCCTCTATTCAGATTGTCTAACTTGCTGTTTGGCTTTCTAGTCTCCTAAAAAGCATCCCTGATGGGTCACTTAAGTCAGTTTCCATTTCTTTATGAAAAAAAAAAAAAGCTGGGTGGTGGTGGTGCTCGACTTTAATCCCTGCACTCGGGAGGCAGAGGCAGGCGGATCTCGGTGAGTTCGAGGCCAGCCTGGTCTACAGAGCGAGTTCCAGAACAGGCTCCAAAGCAATACAGAGAAACTCTGTCTCGAAAGACCAAAAAGAAAGAATGAAGATGTGTGTCTATTTGTGTTGATGCAGACACCAGGGTGGGTTGAGTGTCCTTTGTTGAGGCAGGGTGCCTCGCTCAACTTGGGGCTTCTGTTTTCTCAGCTAGGCTGGAAGCCAGCAGGCTCCACTGATGGTCCTTGTCCACTGTTCAGCAGGCTGAGATTGTAGGCAAGACGGGTCTGTAGGTGGGTGCTTATAGGCAACTCCAGCCCTTGCGTGTGTGCAGAGGTCTGGTGGCTGCTGAGCCCTGGGGACTGTGTAAGGGCTGCCACACAGGAAGTGTTCAGAAACTACTGGGGCTAATGCTGTGCTTAAAACTAACTGAAATTAGAATTGTAGCAAGGAAAGTATTCATAGTTAGCTCCTATCTTTGGGAAGTGAGTAAAGATGATCCCTTTTAGTATTTTGTTTTGCTTTGACTTGTTCTATAATTTTAGGTCTGTGTTGGTTTCTCTGACCATAAGCAGGCATCTTTTTCTCTTCTTGGTGGACATTTACTTCAGAATCGAGACCTTAAACTACCTGGGCAACAACTCTCTTGATTGAGTCTCAGCAAATTCCTTATTTGTGCTCTCTGGGAAGAGTTGCAGTTTTATGTATGTGAAGGATGACACTTCAGGAGGGCCCTTAATCCGAACTAGTGAATGACTTTGTCTTTCTTGTGTTACAGTGCTGCAGCATGAAAGCTCAATGCTCGTGTGAGATATGTAGAAGGGAAAATTGTAGGGGGGGAACTGTAGTAAGACCCTCGGACAAAACAGTGACTTTTGACTTGTTCAAGGCTCCTGTGAAGCAGGAATATGGCAACCTGTGTGTGATCTGTTTGACATTTAGCGTTTGTCTTTGGAGTAGACGTATTTGATTGTTGCCCATGTTTTGTAGTTCAGTCCTCACTGCTTGTGTATGCGCTCATCTGTTTCAGCTAATGGAAACGTTTGTTTATCCTCAGTGTTGATAATTGCCTTTTGTTTGGATAGAGGCCATTGGAAGGGATTCTGTGCTGGGCCAAGACATTGTGTTCCTTGCTTGACACTATCTGGCTTTTGAAAAGTGTAACACACACTCAGGGCTTTGCATAAATAATAAATTACCATAATGACTGAGTATCCATCTTGTGGAAACAGATCAGGTTAAGACTATACATGTGAGAATGTGCCAAGACCCAGTGAAGGCATTTTAAGGTTAGGCATGGGACATCATTTTAATAAGGGTTCTTGGCTTTAGCTAATTTGTTAATATTTATTTATTTGTATGTGTGTCAGAATTGAACATATGTCAGGCTTGGTGGAAGTGCCTTTACCTGCTGAGCCATCTCCTTGAGGCTTGTTCTGGTTTTTTACTGTTATGTAGTGGTTCTAGGGTTTAATAACTCAAAAGGAAAAAAAAGCCTACAGAATATTAATTTTTATGCTTCAGCTAGCTTTAATCAGAGTATAATAGCTATTAAATCAGTGTTTTGAGTTGCCTTTTTAAAAAAATTAGATTTTTAAGAAATTTTATGTGTCCGGGTGTTGGTGGCACACTCCTTTAATCACAGCACTTGGGAGGCAGAGGCAGGCAGATCTCTGTGAGTTCCAGTTATTGAAAAATAAAATAAAAAAATATGCGTATGACTGTGTCGCCTGCATGTGTGTATGTTTACCATGTACATGCCTGGTGTCCAAGGAGGTCAGAGAAGGGTATCAGTCCCCTGGAACTGGAATTGTGGATGGTGTGAGCCACCATATGCGTACTGGGACCTGAACCTGGGCCACTGCAAGAGCAGCAAGTCCTCTCTCAACGGCTGAGCCATTGTTCCAGCCTCTAATCGAGTGATCTTATATAACATCTGTTCCTACCTGTAATTGAGAAAACCAAGACTCTTGTGTTGTTTGTTTTGTGACTTTTTGGGGGGAAGCATGGATAGTTCTGTTTACCCTTGATAGGGCACTAATAAAGAAATCCAAGCAGGGCTAGTGTGGTGAGCAAGTGGGTTCATTGAGTTATGGACAGATGGATGGGTAGCTCAGAGGCAGCTGTGTGGCTGAACAGACTTCCTCGCAAGGTCACAGCTTATAAAAGCCACATTGCTAGAACTCCCTGTCCACTGGAGAGTCTTTCTCTAGCAGCTCCTTCCTGCTTTTACAAACTTGCAGAGGGAGGGAGAGTGAATCCCCTAACTTCCTGAACCTCATATATCTTATTTACTTACTGAATTTTCTGGGTCTCTGTCCTTTGGGAAGGAATGATTCAATTGGGTGGGCGTGGTGAGGCTGTCAACGGAACACTGCTCATGTGTGTTTGCGTAAGTGTTCTGGAGTCTCCTATTGCCCTAATTTTAGGTAGGTATTTATACATCTTTGTCTTTATTTTTGGTAGAAAATGATGCATCCTGTTGCCGGCAGTAACCCAGCGTTCTGTGGGCCTGGCAAGCCTTCCTGCCTCAGTGAAGATGCCCTGAGAGCTGCTGACCAGTTTGATATATATTCTTCCCAGCAAAGCAAGTACGGCCACACAGTCAGCCACAAACCCATGGTTTGTCAGAGGCAAGACCCATTAAATGAAACGCACTTGCAGCCCACCAGTGGCAGAAACATAGAGATAAAAGATGAACTAAAGAAAAAGAAAAACCTCAATCGATCTGGTAAGCGCGGCCGGCCTTCGGGAACCACCAAGTCAGCGGGATACCGGACCAGCACAGGCAGACCCCTGGGAACCACCAAAGCAGCTGGATTTAAGACAAGCCCAGGCAGACCTTTGGGTACAACCAAAGCTGCAGGGTATAAGGTCAGCCCAGGGAGACCTCCAGGTAGCATTAAAGCTCTGTCCCGGCTTGCAGATCTTGGCTATGGCTGTGGTACTGCTGCCTTTCCTTACCCTATGATGCATAGCAGAGCGGTTCACGGGGTTCAGGGAACCAGCAGTGAAGTCAAGCCGCCCAGTGAATGAGCCAGGCAGGGGAGCTCGTGTTAGGAGCAGACTGAGGCTTTCCAAAGCTTCTTGCTTTCATTTGGCTCTACCCCCTGGACTCCCAGTTTTGTTTTCTGTTGATCTCCCTTACTCCCCACTCCTCCTCTCCTTTTGCTCGGAAGCTGCCACGTGTTGACAGATACGCGTAGGGCAGGAGTAGTGCATTGAATCTATATTGTACAAGGTTCAGACAACACTCAAGCTAAGTCATTTTTGCTTTCCCTTTGGACCATTCTTAGTAGATGCTGCACAGGCTACCGGCTGCCACGGTTGTTTTCAGTTGTGAGGAAACCAGTGCGGTAATGTTTGCCTGTGGCGTTCTAACCAATGGGGCAGAACAGCAGCTAGTTAACAGACCAAAGGGTGTGGCTGTGTGAGTTTAGACCTTCCATGAAACAAGGCACAGTTGTCTGGATGCTTTGGAATGTAAAACACAACTTGTTATTTATTGATTCACATGACATGAGCTGATCATCATTCCTAAGGGTTGTCTAATACTGGTCTTGCAAAGGCTATAGTTACAGGTTATGTTTTCCAGTTGCTTAAGAGCATATACACCGAACACTACAAACAATTCATACTTACAGCAAGATCCTTAAATACTTCATAAACCTGCACATTATATTTAATATACAAGAAGAAGAAACCTTTAGGTCTGCATGTAACTATAATCAATCTTTGTCTTTCATATATTTAATGAGTCTCAAAGTATTATATTTAAAAATATTACTATTGCTCATTTATTTAGAATGCCTTTTTCGTTTCTCTGAGTAATTGTTGTTACATTGCATTAGTACTTAACTGCATTTTCAGGTTTATATCTACCAAAGGGTACAAATTGAGTGGTAGACTGCAAAACTGGTCTAGGCAGAGAATAGTCTCCTGGCTGTCAAGACCCAAATACCAAGAGATGTAGGAACTCAGTATTTGTGAACAAACCTGTAAAACAAGTGCTGGTTAGCTTAAAAATGGCATTTGGCTCCCAAAATAAACCTCTTTTCCCTAGGGAGACTTGCTTTAAAAGCAATATAGAAAAGAGAAAAATTCTGGACACATAGGTGTAGTTACAGAGGAATATCTTCCTTTCTGAAATATTTCTTGTTAATAATACATTTTATTTATTCTGAGTTTGTTCTAAATAAAATAATATGAACTTTAGAATTGAAAAGCTTCAGTGGGCAGTGGTGGCACACACCTTTAACCCCAGCACTCGGGAAGCAGAGGCAGGTGGATCTCTGTGAGTTTGAGAGGTGTACATAGTGATTTCTAGGACAGCCAGCACTATGTAGAAACCTTCTCTTAACAAAACAGAGCAAAAAAGAATGAAAAGCTCTCACTGGACTTTTAAAAATTACATTTTTTACTTGCATTTCAAGATGCCTTTAATAAAGTATAGATTTACAGGATTCAAAACTTCAGAAATAGGGCTGGAGAGATGGCTCAGAGATTAAGAGCACTGGTTGCTCTTCCAGAGGTTCTGAGTTCAATTCCCAGCAACCACATGGTGGCTCACAACCATCTATGATAAGATCTGGTGCCCCTTTCTCACATAAAGTTGTATATGCAGATAGAGTACTCATACATAAAATAAATAAATCCTTTAAAAAAAAAAACCTCAGAAATAATCAAATTTAAAAGGACGCATACCTGTTGGTTAGGCTTGCTCTCAGTTCATGCAAACCAACTGCACATAATGCCATGTTTTAGGCCTTTATCAGGAAACAAGCAGCAAACCTCAGGTGCCCCAAGGATAGCTGACACAAGAGCTGGGCTTCTGCACTGACAGTAAGAGGTGTCACACTGCATGTGGGGACAGCGACCTCAACACTACTAGCCTTGCACAAGCTGTAGGGAACAGCAAACAATGCTGGTGACTACACAGCCAGCTGTATCATTCAGGCAGCTAAACTGCTTCAAGAGTTTCTTCTTGCAGAAGCTTAGAATACAGAACTTAATATTTTACTCAGAACAGTGTAACTTCTGACACACACAAATGCTTGCATCTTCTCTCATGTGTTCACCTGGTCACTTGAGTATCCGTCACTTAGTGGTTTCTGAAGATGTTTAGCAGCTGGCTGCTTAGAGATCCTTGCACGGCTAGTTCCTGAAGACAGTTAAAGCGTTCCGCGATAGAGTCGTGCACACCACTGGCAAGGATGTGGGTGCGTGCCGTGTCTCAGAGTGAGTCCGCTCATCATCCTTTCGGTTTGGTTTCGTTCCTGGCTTTGTACCCTTCTGTCCCCCCCCCCAAGCTCCCCAACACATCTACTCTGGTGCTGTGCTGTGTCAGAAGACAGAGTGGTGTGTTGTACAGTGAGTTTTGTATCCATGTCGTGACATGGGACATGAGTTTAAGGAGAGATGTTCATAGCAGTGTTATTATCTATCGGGAGCTCTTATCCCAGGAGAGGGGGATGAGCGGCCACAGTTGTGGATGGATAACATCACTTAGAAAACGGAATTTACTGTTCCAGTGAGCACTCCTGGACTAGTATCTGTGCCCACTGATGAACATCTTCTTCTACTTTCCTCCTTGTGGACAGTTTACTAGTGCCACGCTGGAGAGACACAGATGTGATGACAGGAAGGAGGTCTTCACATAAACATATTTTTACTTCTACATGGTGGATCTAAAGACTGCATTCTGCATCTTTTGTAACATGACAGACACTGAAATAGCATGTTAAACAGTTGCCTAGATGTCAGTATATTCAGTTGGGGAACACTGCCCTTCCCCCACTGTATAATTGTTCCGTAAAAGGTAAATTGCTAATTTTATACTGCGTGATTCTATTCTTCATAAAATAGGTTTCACTATTCTATATTAAAACTGTCAGAAAATTATCTACTATTCCAGTAAGTTGTTTTACTTTTTTTCTTAAAAGGATATTTTAACATGCTGCATTTATTGTTATAACAAAAAAGGAGTCAATACAGATGAAATTTTCATTTTCCACAGGTATCACTTTGCCTAACTAATCTTTAGTATGGGGTGATTTTGATACTATCTTTGGAGTTTTGCACTGGATATTAAAAACATATATTGGCACAATATATTGAAAAATTAAATAGTATTTGGTTTAATATCTGGGAACATTTTTTAAAATCAGTGTTTAAATCAGACTAACAATTCTTTGTATTTTTAATTTACTTTTTAAAAAGAAACATCTGTCAATGTGGTATTTATTCATTCCAACTGCTGTTTGTGTGAACTTGTATATGTTTTCATGAAGTAAGAATACTGAGTTTCTTTGAGGTAAAATCTGGATCCATTTAATTTGAGGTGAAGGGCACTTCATCCAGTGTAAGAATGATCACAGTGTGAGTTTAGACAGTGAACTTCTTTATACTTTAAGAAACTTTGACAGAATGGTTCAGGGAGTGTTGATAACCTCTCTGCCATCCCTTGGCTATGTGCAGTAAGTTATGGTCCATTACAGTAAGATCATAACTCAGCAGTCTTGAGCATAAAGAGTTTTGTGCTCTTTTGTTCTATTATAACGTCATTGACTTTGCTCAAACTCTAAGGTGTATCCGAATTTTTCCTTTGCTTTTCTCCCTTTTCCTCCAAGTAGACAAATCTGTGTCCTCACATACAGTGTATTTAAGTTTTTTGAGAATTAGTGCTGTAGCAAGTCAGTTGTATGATTTAATCAGGCCATTCTGATTGTTTGATTCACAATTTGCTTTTTCCACAGACAATTATGAAGCAAATAATTACCACTTAACTGATAATAAGCACGTTGTCCTCTGCTGTAAAGTCTGAATAGATACTGTGTATGTTTTATTAATTAATGTCCATGAACTTGAGCTACTCGTGTGCAATTATGTGTATGGGAATGGAGTAGTGTTCATGATTTGTATCTACATCATCATATGGATGTATATTTATTAATAAAGGCATCACTTTAAAACCAGCTGTTTACTGCTTTATTTTTTTCCTGTTTACTTACTTTGTATATGGTGTTGTGAGATCACATGCCGTCTGTGTGGATATCAGAAGACAACCTTTGGGAGTTGGTACCTCACTCACTGAGCCACGTGACAAAGCATAGATAAGAAGTATGGGTTAGTTTAAGTGTAAGAATTAGCTAGTTACAAGCCTGAGCTATTGACCCAGCATTTGTAATTTATATTAAGTCAGTTACTTGCGAATCAGCTGCCTGTTGTTTAGGAGCAGGCAGTTGAGACAGGAAAACTCAGCCTGCACACCACCACCTGGCTGTTGTTTAGTGTGTGTGTGTGTGTGTGTGTGTGTGTGTGTGTGTGTCTGTCTGTCTGTCTGTCTGTCTGTCTGTCTGTCTGTCGCACGTGTGTAAGTTCAGAGAACAACTTGTGGAAATTGGTTACACTGGATGGTTTCTGGAGATTCCGCTGGGGGTCAGACCTGGCGTCATCAGCCTTGTTTTATACATTATAATCTGCAGTCTTGCAAAATTCATATATTGTCTGTTGTATGTTTCTTGTTTGTGCTTGTATTCCTCAGGATTTTCCTTAAGTGCTTTTGCTAGCGATTATACGTATTTAGAATGTATTTTGGTCATATCCATGCCTCACCCTTTCTTGGCCCGCTCCTCCAATCCCCTTCCTCTTCTGAAGCAGCTCCTATATAGTATGTTGGTTTTGGTTATCCAAGAGTCTCGGTAGGGTCACTTTGAGCATAGGCACCTTATCACTGGCACACTGCTGAAGAGGGTCTTTCCTCCTCTAGCAACCATTGACTGCCTTAAGTCCTCGGGGAGGAGTGGGCCCAGTCTCGTGCAGCTGGCTGCAGTTCCTTCGAGGTCAGTGCAACGGCCCTGTGCCCAGTAGTGTGACAGGAAAAGTGAAAGGATCCAAAGCAGCCAGCCACGAGCTCTCACTCCAGCTCAGGCTGCAAGGGCTGATCCTGTCACAAGCTCTCACCAAGCCTCAGACTGTAACCTCTCCTCAGCATGGCTGGAGAACGAATGCCTCCTACTCCTTGCTCCTGTCTTATACTCCTAGTGCTGGGATTAAAGGTGTGAGCTGTAATTCTCCTTTAGACAGATTCAGTCGTGTGTAGATCTTGGTGGCCTTGGTCTCACAGAGATCCTGAGTCCTAGGATTAAACGTGTGTACCACTACCTCCTAGCTTCTGGCTGCTGGGATGAAAGGTATGTGCCTGGCTTCTCTAGTCTGGCTGACTTTGCTTTCAGAATCCTCAAGCAAGCTTTAATAAATCATAATGTATCACCATATGGCAGTGTCCCACATTCCACCCCACCCGTCATCTGGCTCTCTGCCCCCTTCCGCTGTGTTCCTTGAGGTGATGATGGATACGTCCTTGTCTTAGGGTCTCTATTGTTGTGATGAAACACCAAAAGTATTTTGAGGAGGAAAGGATTTGTTTGGGTTACACTGTTCATCAAAGGCAGTAGTCAGGGTGGAACAATGCTCCTTACTGGCCTGCTCCTTCCTCATGGCTGGCTTGCTCAGTCTGCTTAAGAGAACCCAGGATCACCAGCCCAGGCATGGCCCCGTCCACAATGGGCAGGGCCTCCCTATCAGTTACTAACAGGCCTGCCTCATGGAGGCATTTTCTGAGTTCAGGTGAGTGGATATGGAAACTAGACAGGACAGTTGGATTTGTGGCTGAACATCTGACTCATGACCTTCTGTTGCTGTGATAAAATGTCCTAACAAGCAAGTCAGGGGAGAAAGGGTTTATTTTGGCTTATGGTTCAGAGGAGATAGAGTCCATTATAGTAGGAACAGCATAGCAGCAGGAGTGTGAGGCCAGCCGGGCAGTTGGGAAGGAGTGTGAGCAGGACCTGGGACCAGGCTATATATACATCCTCAAAGCCTGCCTCCTAAGTGTTCCTTAACCTGTGAAAGCGTGCCGTCAGCTAGGGACCAAGTGTTCACACATGGGAGATACTTTATATTCAAATCACACCAGTATCCAAGAGTCACTAATTTTCTTTGGCCAGTCATGGATCTCTAGTTGCTGCTACCTGCTGCAGAGCAGCCTCTTTGAGCCAAACAGACAGCAGCACTAATTATGGGCATAAACCCAAGAATTTAAAAGGAAATTGGATAGGCACATGGCAAAACATTTAGCAAAACAGCAGTAGCTTTGCTACTAGGTCCTCTGACCACCCCTGCCACAGGCTTCTGAATAGGTTACAGTACCAGGTATGAATTCCCTCCAATGGAGCGTGGCCTCAAATCTAACCAGAAAGCAATTGGTCATCCTCATAACAGACTTGGCACCATTGCACCCTTGGGACCACCTTACTTGGCTAGTTAGTAGTGTAGGGCACAGGGCACTCAGCTGAGGAAGTCGTCTGTTGACGACCAGTCTCCCTAAGCAGGGGGCATAGCACCTTCAACACAGAGCCAGCCTACAGGGGACAAATGTGCAGGTCAGAGCCAGCCTGATTCTCCTGTGTACTGCCACCAGAACTCATGGGCTCTCACGTAATGGGGTCTTAACATCTAGCTCTGGTTTTATTTATTTTTTTAAAAAGATTTACTTATTTTTAGCTTATTGTGTAGTTGAATTTTCTTTTTACTCTGTGCTCTTTGGGGGCCTGGCCACCTACCTCCCAAGTAAATACATAGAGATGTATTCTTACTTATGAATGCCTGGTCTTAGCTTGGTTTGTTTCTAATCCACCTTTTTTTTTTTTTTAACTTAAATTATCCTGTCTAGGGGGCTGGAGAGATGGCTCAGAGGTTAAGAGCACTGGCTAGTCTTCCAGAGGTCCTGAGTTCAATTCCCAGCAACCACATGGTGGCTCACAACCATCTATAATGAGATCTCACACCCTCTTCTGGCATGCATATGCATAATAAATAAATTTAAAAAAATTATCCTGTCTACCTTTTGCCTCTGGGCCTTTACCTTTATTCTGTGTGTCTTTCTTTACTTACTCCATTGTTGGCTGGGTGGCTGGTCACTGGCGCCCTAGCTTCTTTTCTCTCCTCTTTCCTCTTAGTCTCTCCGCCTGCCAGCCCGGCCTGTCTCTCTTCCCTGCCAGGCTATTGGCCATCCGACTCTTTGTTAGGCCAATCAGATGTCTTAGACAGAGTAACACAGCTTTACAGAGCTAAACAAATATAACAAAAGAATGCAACCCATCTGCGCATCATTAAACAAATACTCAACAGCATAGAACAGCACATCTTTATTCCATAGCATGTTAGCGACTGTTTCACTTGTATGTACATGCCATATGCCTGTGTGGTGCCTGAGGAGGCAGAAGAATGCATCCAGTCCCCTGGCACTGCAGAACCGAACCCCAGCCCTCTGGAAAAGCATCAAGTGCCTTTAACTGCTGAGCCGTCTCGAGCCCCATCCTAACGGTTTTCAGAATGAGGTTTCCAATATCTTCCAAAGGTTACGGAAATACATTAGAATGTATTTGAAGATGTTTTTAATATCTGTGGACTCACAGTTTTTAAAAATTTGCATTTACTTGGTCTGTTTGTGTAGCCACCATGCTACATACTTGGAGATCAGAGGACAGCACACAGTAGTCGGTTCTCCTCACTACGTGGGCCCTGTGATTGAACTCAGGTTGTCAGGCTTGCTGGTAAGCTTCACCCACTGAGCCGTGCTGTGGGATGCCCCTCTGCATGCTGTGAATATGTTTTATTACCATTGGGTAGTAAAGAAGCTGCTTTGGCCTATAGCAAGGCAAGATAGAACCAGGCGGGAGGTACGGAGAAGAAGGGCGGAATCAGGGAGATGCCAACATGCCGCCACTGGGAGAACAAGATGTGCTGGGGAACAGGAACACCACAAAGACACGTGTGATTAAGCCTCTGAGTGGTTATCTGAAAAGTGGCTGTGGGGCCAGGTAGGACAAAAAAAACAAAAAAACAAAAAAAAAACCACCTCAGTTTACAGCCCCATGAACTAAACATCCTAACATAGACACTTGTATTTGGTTTGTTGTTGTTTTTTTTCGAGACAGGGTTTCTCTATTGTTTTGGAGGCTGTCCTGGAACTCGCTCTGTAGACCAGGCTGGCCTTGAACTCAAAAAGATCCACCTGCCCCTGCCTCCCGAATGCTGGGATTAAAGGCAGGTTTTTGTGGGCCCACCACCCAGCTTCCAAATAAATACATGGAGACTTACTCTTATGAATGCCTGGCCTTAGCTTGGCTTGTTTCTAGCCAGCTTCTATAACCTAGATTTTTTTCTTAAGTATGTTTTACCTCTGGGCTGTGTGCCTTTTTTTTTTTTTTTTATTCTATCTATACATCTTTCTTTCCTTCTTACTCCATGACTGGCTGGGTAACTGACTCCTGATATCCTCTTCCTTATCTCGGTCCTTGTTCCTCTCTCCTGTTTATTCTCTCTGCCTGGCAGCCTCACCTATCCCTCTCCTGCCTTGCTATTGGTGGATCAGCTCTTTATTAGACCAATCAGGCAGGCACACCAACACAGTCTCACAGAGTTAAACAAATGCAACGTGAAACAATGCAATGCGTCATTAAACAAATATCCCACAGCGTAAACGAATGTAACACATTTGTTCGAGATTATTCATTGTTACGTTCTAAAGGCTCCAGCTTTGCATTGTAGGAGCCATTCCAGTTCCCTGCCCATTTAAAAAATGTTTATTATTAGCTGGGCGGTGGTGGCGCACACCTTTAATCCCAGCACTCAGGAGGCAGAGGCAGGCGGATCTATGAGTTCCAGGCCAGCCTGGTCTACAGAGTGAGTTCCAGGACAGCCAGGGCTGCACAGAGAAACCCTATCTCAAACAAACAAGAAGTATCACTTAAGCCTAGGAATTTGACACCAGTGAAAAAAGATCCTGTCACAAAATAAATAAATTGGCTTAATTTATACACTAATGAGGAGCCACAGGAGGTGGTTTAAGATTACAGAGAAGATAATCTATGGATGGATAAATGTGAGAAGGTAAAGTGAGCATCTCCTC